AATCTGTTCTTTGTTCAGCTTCCTTCATTTTTTTTGGTAAATGTCACAATTTACCTATGTGACCAAGCCAGAGATGGAGGAATCATCATTTCTCTTTCCTCCACATCAGATCAGTCAGCAAATCTTGCCAGTCCTGCCTCTAAAATACACCTGCTTCTCTCCCACTCCACTGCTATGGCTGAAGTCTAGGCCACAATCATTTCTTGCTTGGATTATTGTGATAACTCTTAACTGCAATTCTCTGACCTTTCTTTCCTCTCCCTTTCATTCTTCACATAAGAGCAGCCAGAGTGATTAAAAAAAAAAAAAAAACCATAAATTGGACATTGTGACTTCCCTCCTTAAATTGTCTCAATGGCTTTCTACTGCACTTCAAATATAATACAGACTTTCTTTTCATAATCCATATATCTATACATATCTTGTCTCTACCTAATCCTCCAACTATTTTAATTTTCCAGTGCTTCACTTTCTTTCTGTTCTCACAGGAACCAGGTTTGCTATACTTTTGACCCTCCATGTGTATTGTTATCAGAGTTTATCTCGTTACTTATTTCTTTGATTTTTTAAAAAATTGTCTTCCCCCATTAGGATGTAATATTCATAAGAGCAGAAGCTTATCTATCTTATTTATGTTCTGATTTGGGAAAAATAAGAGGGGTAGCTGAAAACACTGTCTTCTCTATTTTCAAAATGGTTCATAGTTAATGCTTTTGTAGTAGCTTGCTGTTTTAGACTTTGCAGGGAAAGTTAAAATTATGGCTAGAAAAGTGACTCATAGGACTGACATTATAAGTACATAAAATGTGAAACCGATAATTTTGGTTTTGGTGACAAATGCCCTTGTTTCAATATTTGTTTCATTGTCACCATGCTCTGAATTTGACCATTAGTAAATATAGGTAGGATGGTGGTAGGGATAGAGTGAAAAAGAGGATAAAAGTAAGCAACATTGTTAAGCTTTTTGGGTTCATTATATTTTAGTAATAATTAGGGAGATCTTTTACTCAGTGACATTTTTAATAGAGAAAAATAAGTGGGGAGAAGATGAGAGCAGTAAATTCCAGATGTGTTCGGTGAAGGACAGAGGCAGAGCTCTCTTTCAAGAGAAAAAGAGTACAGAAAAGAGAGAGTAAGAGAGATTCTGAAAGTTTCACCTACATCATATTTAGTGTTAAATATACATGCAGCTATTCAGTTATGAAACTGTAAATCAAAAACAGTCTTTGCAGAATATACTTAAAATAACAGTTAATGTCATATTTAGCCAAAGTTTTAATTATGTTCTATTTATAAAAAGCAAGCAATTTCCAAATTAATGAGACATTGATTTTTATTTTCTGGTAACAAGGTGCCATATTTTGAAACTACAATTTATAATGCACTGTGAAATGGAATAGTTTCTATGCCCATGAATTCTGTCCCCATTTTTTTGTATAAAGTCATTGTCAGAATTTTTGTTGATTTATTTTAATTCAGAAATGTGGTCATTATGATGATTGTTCCAGAATTTGATTCATTCTTATTAACGTTCTGTTTTTAAATATATTCCATTTTTGCTTGCAATAAGTTATTTTGAATGAAGCCAATCTAGTGAAAACATTGTGCTCTGATGGTCTTGAGTGTCACTCTTGAGTGTCACTCTTGAGTAATCTTGATCTTAACCTCCAGTCAAGCCTTCATTATCAGCATTCCATAAAATCTCTCTCATCAAAGTTACTTACAGTCTCCACATTGCTGTATCCATCTGGCAATCTCAGGTCTCATCTTTCTGAATTTCCCAGCAGCATTTGACACTATGGAACATTCTCTCCATTTTGAAATTCTTCTCTTGGCTTCTGCATTTCTTCAGTGTCTCCTTCTTAGTTTCTTCAGCCAGACCTTCTCCTCTTCTTTGCTGAGTTCCAAATTATGGGCCACCACAGAGCTCAATTCTCAGGCACCTTCTTTATCAACTATTCAGTGATCTCAGCCAGTATATGCGTAAAAACTATTTATATTCTGATGATTTCCCATAGTTATAGCTCCATCCCCAATCTTCCTCTTAACTCAAGATCCGAAACAGAATCCTTGATTTCTACTCTAAAACCCACTCTTCTTTGTGAGTTCCTCATCTCTGTGAATGACAATGTCATTTACCTATTTTCTTGGTAAATATCTCTGCAATTATCTTTGTCTCATCTTTTTCATAGCCTACATGTAGTTTGTGGTCAAATTCTGTCTCACTTCAATTCAAAATATATTTTAAAATGCCCACTTCTTATCAACTCCACTGCTACCACTCTAGTAAAAGCAGCCTCATTGTCACTGAGGATGGAACAGCTGCCCCTCTGCTCTTCTCTCTGAGGTCCTCCCCAGGGTCTATTCTCTACCTTCTAGATTGAGAGAGGCTTTACATATGTCAGATCTTGACTTGTCCTTCCCAGTTAGAAATACTTTATGACTTCTTACACTTTGGATGAAATCTGAACTTCTCTGATTCCTAAGACCCCAGAAACCTGTTCCTTGTCCTGATAATCTCTTCATCATCATCCTGCTACCACTCTCCTTGTGCTCCCTACTCTCACCAAAATTACTCACTTCCTGTTCTTTGAAGAAGTCCAGCGTGCTAGTACTTCAGAGCTCTTGAGCTTGCTGTTCTCTCTGCTGTCTCTCATTACATCATGTCTCTACCCACACGTCACAACCACAGAAAGGTTGATTTCTCAAACCTCTGTAAAATATCAGACTCTCTCACTCTTTACCTTCTTGCCCTAGTTTTCTACATAGCCTGTATCATTAACTGAAAGTATATCACATATTTAAAAAAAAAACAAACATACGATTATTTCTTAGTTTGTTGATTGTGTGCCTTCCCTACTACAATATAAGCTTTATAAGAGCAGGGACTTTGTTTTGCTCATTGTTTTGTTCCTGGCATTTAGCTCAATGTCTGATACTTAATAGGTCTACATAAATATTTATTGAATTAAAGAATGAATGATTTATATTTAGGAAGGGAAGAATTGTGCACATGTGATCTCTGCAGGACCTCACAGAGAGATGTCAACATGGTGAATAATGATGGTTATCTAAAGGTCATGCTAATAGGGCAGGTAAAAAAAAAAAAAGCTTGAGGGTGACTGGCTATATAAAAGGAACATCCCTCTGAGATATAGGAGCCTGGATTGTCACTCTTCCATGCACCAGAATATACTTTGTGGCTTTCTGAAAGTACACACCCCAGACGTCTGCCCCAGATGTTCTGATTCAGAGGTTTAGAGTGAATTCACACTAATGTAGTTCTTTTTGGTTGAAGTCCCCAAAAGCAGAACTTGAGATAGGGATTTTGGTGCATATTATTTACTATGAGGATGCTTACAGGTAAAACCTGTTAAAAAGGGAGGAACTCAGAATAGGGAGCTAGAGGGAGCTGAGCAAGAATGTGGTTCCAGGAAATCTGGCTTTGGCCTGATGTGTACAGCAAGGCTCTGTATCATAAACTACACCATAAAGTTGTTTCCTCCCTGAGGTAAGAGACCAGTATCAGTCAGTCATTGATCTTAGGCTGACTAAGTGTGATGAGGTCACTTTCCAAGTAATGTAGCTCTCCTCCGTGGAGGGCAATTCTCTAGAGTGGGAGCTGAGAACCATTAGCAGTCAACACTCACAGCAGCTGGAGGAGGCACACTGTCCCTCCTCCATAGAGAAGGGAAACTGGAAAAACCACCACAATGTTTTCTGCAGTTGGATAGAAAGGGGCTAATTGTTCTGCACAAACATTCATTCATTCATTCAACATATATTTATTGTGGTCAGTTATGGGCCAAATATATATACTATCATTTGCTGAGATTTAATGATAAACAAACATAGTTCCTGAAGGATAGGGAGAAACAGAAATATTCATCACATAAACATGCAGTCATAATGAGATACTTACTAAATTATTCCAAATAATTAACTGAAGCAAGATTGTAGAAATAAGTCCATGATATTGTATAAGTAGGTAATGGTTTCCCATAAATTGTTTTTGCTGTAACTCTTAGAAAGATGGTATAAATTCTTTATCATAGAAATCATTATCTAATACCACCTGTATGTTAATCAAATAATTATCAGGCATTATTTGAAAACTCAAATAGAATTAAAAATATATTTCAGCCTGGAAACCATGTTAGTGTACAAGTCCTGTACTTGATCATTGTTCAAAACACAAGATGATTTTCTCTTAATGGGAACTGAAGCAGAGAAAAAGTAAGAATAAATTTTTTTTTAAATGCAACTAAAGTCTTGGGTCAGATGCTAATTCTTTTTGTCTTTTAGACATTATCCCCCTTATTCCTCTCCATGATTGGCCAAGCAAGGCAAGAACAAGAACTAGAGCTGTGTGTGAAGCAGAATCTTGTTATCATAGAATATTCATGTTCACAGACTACTCACAATCTGCTGGTCTCTGTGGAGGCTAAAATTTCATTGGTGTTATTCATTTGATATGAAATATTCACCACTATAAGACTGGAATAACTATGTTTAAAAATAGCAACATTTAAGGGACAAAAAGAAACTATCTGAATACATAGATACAGTACAGATCATTAAATTCCAAGCAAAATTTGATAATTCAGCACTGGGGGTAAGAGATACCAAGAAAGTACAAAAGGAAAACTTGTATTTATACGTTAAATTATTAGAAAGAAAGACACAAAAACTTTTAAAATGACCAATAAATTGGATACCATTAAATATCCACCTATAGCTCCTGCTTTTGTCTACAACTCTATTTTCATCTTTTAAAAACATCTTTGCATAGTGCTATGGAAGCTATTGTCCTGAAAAATAAACCAGTTAATGAGCAACATAACAGATGTCAGTAAAATAGTATTTCTTAGTTTCTTTAACATAGAACAAAATTTCAAAGAAATTCTGTTGAAATTCTGAAGTGTCACCGAGATCTCTCTTTAGGAGAATGTGATGCCAGAAGAAATAATAAGGCTTATTTTCAATCATTCTGTTCATACCTCAAATCCCTGTGGTCTTCCTAGACTCTCCTTAATGTGTTTCCATGCAACAAGAATCTCTGACACAGACACACTTGTTGCCTTGACATCTGTGGGAGCAGCACTGGGTTCTGTATGAAGGAAAACAAAACAGAGTTATAAAAAGTTTATGTCCATCAAAGCATTGCACGTGAGTCTGTCAGGTGTTAACTTCCTCTTACCTTATTTTTGAAATGAAGGGCTGTGGTAGTTACAAAAAACACAACAAAATATAAAGGTGATTCTTTTGGATTTCTATACTTGGGTCAAGTCTCATCAATACCTTACCAATGACAAATGACAAATCTAGCAAGACAAGCAAAGACATTCATCCTTGGATCAGCTAAGACATTTCTGGGGAACTTAAATTTTCTGCCAATCTAGCATAATGCCTGTAAAAATAGACTGTGGCATCAAGGTTTACTTTTTTTTTTGTTGCTGCTGCTGTTGCTTTTTGCCTTAAAACATTTTTTTTTTTTTAGCTATTTATTTACCTTTGGGTAAGTTGTTTTATCTCTTTCTAAGCCCTAGTTCCCTCATCTATAACATGACTATAATGAGAGTATTTATCTCATAGATTTAAAGGTTGGTTTTAATTAGAATAGTGCATATAAAATATTTAGTACTGTGCTTGGCGTTAAATATATTCATTCACAAAATACCATATTATTTTATTTTTTTATTCTGTGTAGGCATAAATAGTATCTAAATTTCATTAGACACTTTTTGTTGTTCCACCAGAAAACTACATTTTTATGATTATATAAGGAATATGCTATGAATCATGATATTTAAATGGCATGCATTGACTTTTAAGACAGGTGCAGGTGGAAAAGAAAGTCCCTGAAGGGCTCAGTGCTGTGGCTCAAAACCACCTTTCCATTTGTTTCTACATTCAGTGACCTTTCACACTAATTTTTTTGAAACACACAACGTCTGACTGGCATCCATCAAAAGGTGCACTTTATTCGAGCCTGCACTTGATGTGAGGAACAAAATATTTCTAGTGTTGACACGGTTGAATCATAAATACTGTGTCACAAACACACGTTAAATGAAATGGCAGAATAAAGGCCATACATTAGTTCAAACAGTTCTGTAAAAAGTCTATTAAAAATTTCTACTCCATAAAAATTGCAGAGATTTTGGTACTAACCCCTTATCACTGATTAGAGCTCAGCTTCATCTATGAAATTTTTGTTTTGTTTTGTTTTCTTCAATTTAGGGAACCATATAGCAAAGATTGAGTTCTAAATAAAAATGTTAAAAGGCAACATTGAAGTTATAATCATTTTCTGAGGTGTTTCCTTTTCTAAAAGAAGCTAGTCATACATGTGTCTGGAATACTTTTATATATTATTAATTGAAATATATCAGTCAAAAATATCTAGCCTGTTATTGCAAAAGGAGCCTGCAAAAACTTGGTTGGTCCATGTTTGCACCAAGCAATTATTTTCTTTTGTCCAAACCTTTGTTAAAAACACATGCTATAATTGTGTCATCTCAGAGTGCTTTGGTGAATTCACATTAATTTTTACACAGAAGCTGACATTAATTACTGCCATGGTATAAATTATAATTGTTCATTCTGTCACCTTTTGAATTTTTTTTTAATTATTTTCCTTTGCTCAGCGGTTTCCCTCATCTCACTTTCCAACTCCCTATTATTTGTGCATCTATCCAATTTAAAACATGCATTCTGGAAAAATCTTCTATCTTATTCTAGAATTCTGATTACCAGACTTGCAACGGACATTTTTTCCCCATTGCTATTTAGTAGGAGTTAAAATTCTTGATTTTGCAAGTAAATGAAAGAATGTTGATGTTTTTGAGGTGTGTACAACTTGATCTCTGGGATTTAGGATACAGTTTATTTGAAAGGAAACCACACTTTGAATATCATTTGCTATTCAGTAGCAGTTTTACTTCTCTTCAGAATAAATGCATTGCAGAGATTTGTGTGCCAAATGCTTTCTTTCAACTTTTATATTGCTGAAGCAATTACATCTTTGTCAAAGAAGATTGCAGGGGGATAAATAACTTCAGAAGCACAAAACATGTGGTGGGGTAGCAACCTTTCCCTATCTCTTTATCTCCAAAGAAAGGAATTATTTCTCTATCAACTTTCAGTACTACTGTACAAGTTTAAGTAGTTCTCACACAGAAAGCTTAAAAAATATTAAAGTAAAAGTAAATAAAAATGTTCAGAAACCTGCTTCTCAAACAAGCACCTTAATTTTTATTTAAAAGCTCTAAGGATTTTAAATTAGGGTCATATCACACCTACATTTCACAGTTGCATTTTGGGGAGCTGCATGTTATAATTTCATATAATTGAATGACAGTGAATCAATCAACAAGAATTGAAGAGTCATTTTAAATCGTTTTTCACCCTCTTAATCTAATCAAGCGTGTCCAGGCTTGGCCCAGAACAGCTTTGAATGTGGCCCCCCAAAAATCTGTGAACTTCTTAAAACAAGATTTTTTTTGTAACTTTTTTTTTCTTTTTTTTTTTTAGCTTATCATCTATCATCATTAGTGTATTTTATGTGTGGTCCAAGACAATTCTTCTTCTTTCAATGTGGCCCAAGGAAGCCAAAAGATTGAACATCCCTGAGTGGTATCGGAAGTTGATCTATGTTGACCTGAATTAGGAATTTCAGCATGTAGAAAGAGTGACCTCAGTCAGATTTTCCCAGAAATTTTAGTATGTAATATGTATACCCAAGTGAACATTTTCAACTAGGTCAAAAATTGGTCTGCAGAGAGAAGTAATTAACTGGATCACAGAACATCTAGTTTGCATTGAAACTGGCCATTTGTTTTGAGCATCCCACTGTAACCGATTGATGAAAAGTTACAACTAGAAAGGACTCTAGAAGTCATTTGGCTCCAAAGTCACAAATGCGGGGGCAGTGGGTCTTTAGTCATGTTTTGTTTGTCTACATCATGTGTTAAATTAATTTAAGCCAACATTTGAAAATAAGAATTTTGTTGGTGGGACTGTAAACTAGTTCAACCATTGTGGAAGACAATGTGGCGATTCCTCAAGGATCTAGAACTAGAAATACCATTTGATCCAGCCATCCCATTACTGAGTATATACCCAAAGGATTATAAATCATGCTGCTATAAAGAAACATGCACATGTATGTTTATTGCAGCACTATTCACAATAGCAAAGACTTGGAACCAACCCAAATGTCCACGAATGATAGACTGGATTAAGAAAATGTGGCACATATATACCATGGAACACTATGCAGCCATAAAAAAGGATGAGTTCATGTCCTTTGTAGGGACATTGATGCAGCTGGAAACCATCATTCTCAGTAAACTATCGCAAGAACAGGAAACCAAACACCACATGTTCTCATTCATAGGTGGGAACTGAACAATGAGATCACTTGGACACAGGAAGGGGAACATCACACACTGGGACCTATTGTGGGGAGGGGGAAGGGGGGAGGGATAGCATTAGGAGATATACCTAATGTAAATGACGAGTTAATGGGTGCAGCACAGAAACATGGCACATGTATACATATGTAACAAACCTGCACGTTGTACACATGTACCCTAGAACTTGAAGTATAATTAAAAAAAAAAAAAAAGAAAAGATGAATTTCTGGCTTCTCTTGCAGGGGGCGGGGGAAAGAAGACGGTATGAAGCCTAAATTCTTGAGTGTTGGCCGATGAGGTTTAGTGGTGGACTCCCTCAGTCTGGGCGTATGCTTCTACATATGCCAGAGTTCCTACTACTCCCTATTATCTCACACAAGGAGTACTTTATTATTTTTATTTCTTACCTCACTCCTATGTGCTTTGGGGTAATGGACCTGTTTTAAATCCATGCTGTCATTTTGCAGATTAGAAAAGTAAAACGTACAGAGGTTGATTTATCCATACTCTGCTTTTAGCTGTGAAAAAGCTCCAACTAGAACTTGGGACTCAGATGCTCTTTCCTCTGTTTTTAAATTGGCATAAAGAAAGAGGCTGGCTCATTCTTCACCTCCTAGAGTCCATTTTGAGTCACAGAATAAGTTTTACAGAAAACACAGATAGTTCCTTCTTTTATTGCCCAATTGCCTCCAAATAACTGACAGAGGAATGGATAGAATAAGATTAGAAGTAAACAAAAAGACAAAAGAGATGAAGGGATCACTCAAAATACTAATAATTGCTATTTATTGAGGTTCTGCTGTGTTTCAAACCCTGTTATTAATTCTTTACATGTCTTAATTAATCTTCCCAACAACCATGTTACTACTACTAGCATTTTTTCAGATTAAGAAATCAAGGGGCAGAGAGGTTAGGCTACTTACTCAAGATCCCACAGCTGCTTAAATGTGGAGGGAGGATTTGAACACAGGCAGTCAGGCTCTGAGCACCACACTGTTCTGCTTCTGTGCCTATGTCTCTGTTATACTCACCTGATGCTTTTTCCTTTTCTATTTCTCTCTTTCCCTTTTTGCCCCTCCACATCTGACTTCTCTCAAGAATGTTTGTGTTGGGCTCCCTACTTGGGCTCTCTATTTCTAGGTCTTGTGAGAAACCATCTATATCCCCATTATCACCCGCTTATCCTGCCACAGGCTCACTATCAACTCCTTTGGTTCCTGTTTCACAGACTCCCTGGTAATTTTGAACCTCAGCTGCACAGCTCCTCCTCAGTCATGTCATATTCAGGCATCTCTGAAACTCTCCTGATCTCTAAATCACAGGATGTATTCTGCCACTCTCACTCCCATCTCTTACACTGGGGTAATTTAATAAAAGTTCAGAAACTTATTTCTGAGACTGTACTAGCATTCTATCTAGTGGAATCAAAGACTTAGAAGTAAACCTCTTTCTTTCTTTTTTTTTTTTTTTTTCCTGTTACTTGTGATGATATTAATTAGGCCATGGCTAACTCCTTCACTGTAATCTTGGGATATGTAGTAGACAGGCTGATTGATAGGTTTGTTTCTGTTAGATTAAAAATGTTGAACAATATTACCATGTTCATGAATTTAGATGATACATTTGTATGAAGTGACCTAGCAGCTGGAGTTCTTCATGTCATATTGGGGTATGTGCTTGTAATATTGACTATACACCTGACTTCCCAAGAGATCCCTTCCCAAGAGATCCCTAGAGCAACAGCATTAATCAAAAGAGAGTTTAATAAACTCCTGGAGAGAAAAGGTATGGTTTCATTATTTAAAAATTTGGTGAAGACAACTGCAGTTGAACTTTTATAGGCACTAATCCAAATAGATCATCTGGAAAAGACAGGAAATTATTTCTTGTATTTTACAACTAATATGTCAATTGATTAATTTTCAAGTTCACATAAATCCCACTGAGCTCAGTTTCGGCTAAGGATGGATCTGGAGAATAACACCTTAGGAATGTTAGGCTTTAATTTGGGCTGTGGTAGCTCCACTTGCAATGAGATAATTGTATATCATTTTCTGCAAATGAGGACAGGCTTTTTAGGTTTAATAAATATATGAGCAGGACATTTTTTACAGATAAGGCAAAAGCCAAGAAAATTAGAAAGGATAAAGGATCAAGCACATCACAAGTAAATAAATCTTTCAACCTATAATTAACTATATCAAATTTTCTTCTGTTTTTCCATTAGGTTTAATTGAATGCTCCAGTTCTTTTCATTTCTGAAGTTACGGTGAGAAGAACTAAGTGGAAAATGGGTATGTTTGAGTATTCATTATTTCTTGAAATGTGGAAGACAAAGCCAATTTAATGTTTTTATCTTGGAAAAGAATTATTTTTTATCAGTTTTACCATGCATTTTGAGAACTTATTTTGGAATTTCACTGTTCTTTTTATAACAAACAGAATTGTTTCCAAAATAAGGGTGTTGTATAGAATTATATCATACCCTAGAGGTCTGAAGCCAGGCTTAGGAAGGCCCATAAACCTTGCTTGGTTTAAATGGCAAAGATATTTGACACATGTACAGGGTACACGGATATCTTGGCAGGCAAATATCTGTCTTCTCCAGGGCTTATGTCAGATGCTGTTTGGCACTGACAGAGTCATTAAGGGTCGCTTCTCTTGTGGCAACATTGAAAGGTTAGCAGAAAAAATATTTGAAACTTTTTCTGAGAGTACTCTAGGGCAATACTAAACCTCAGAGTTGTGAGACTTAAGGTCATATCCCAAGTGATTTATTGATCAAGCATCAACATTTGTAAATGATGATTTCTTTGAAAAACATGTCAATTCAAGGTTTTCTCTAAAATAATGTAATTGTATTTGCATTCTGAGATACTTTTTTGAGAGGAAAAGAAAGGGATAGAGAGAATGGAGAATGCACATAAACACGTATAAAAGCATGTTCTGGGTATGAATGTCATCTGTTATCCATGTTCCACTGGGAAACAGGTTGAGAAGTAGTACTGTAAGGCGTGCCTTGTAAGTTTTTCTGTTCTATGCTTCCCTCCCAATAACATAAATTCTGGTAGCTGCATTTGACATTTTTCTTCCCAGCTTGGTGTCGGCTGTGAAAAGGTGGCTTTTTCACAGTGCTTAAGGCATGTAGCTGTAATCTTGAAAGGAAGAGGAAGAACTAAGCCTGTAAACGGAAATAGAAAGGCGGTCTCACTCCTCTTGATCTTTACTGTATCTAAGAATGCGGAGGGATTTTGAGGTGATAAACAAGTGGATTCGGTTAATGGAAGAATAAGGAAGCAGGATTTGTCTTATGGAGAAATACAATCTAGCTCAGATTAGTTGGGCTTTGGGCAAGAGTGTAATGATAAAAGACACACTGTGAAGCTGTCTGGACGTCCATAGACACAGAGGGGAGAAACCTGCACTGGCAAGAGTCTAAGAGTGTAATACGTTATTTTACAAGGGCATTACAGGCCTTTCCTCTTTTTAAAAATGGTTTAATCTTGGAAATGCTCACTCCTTTTTAAGTAAAGCAAATTGTGAAGTGACTAAAAAAGGATGTTGGTTTTCCCTTTTTATTGTATAGCAAAAGTGGATCTATTATTACTATCTGTACTAAGACAATTGTTAAAAAGAATATTTTATTTTATTTTAATCCACTTACTAATTTTTTGAGACAGGGTCTCACTCTTTCACTCAGGTTGCAATGTAGTGGTGCCATAAAGGCCATAGCTCATTGCAGCCTCAAATTCCTGGGCTCAAGTGATCCTCCTGCCTCAGCCTCCCAATGTGTTGGGATTATAGTAGGCGTAAGCCACTGCTCCCGGCTAAAATGATGTTTTAGAATATAGAATAAATTGACAGAGTTTTAATTTTAGATTTGTACAGGATTCCAGAGATGTTCTATTTTGAGACCTTCATTTTTAAAGTGGAGGAAGCTAAGCCTCAGAAAGTTGAATAAACTGCCCAAGATGGTCTAGTTAGTGTGATCAGATTTGAACTCAGGTTCCGCTAACTCCAGGTAAATGCTTTTCTTTTCCCTTGTCCTGCCTTTCTTGGTTGACACACTCTAATGATGCTAACACTTTACTCATATTTGCATATAAAGTTCCAAATTTGTGAACTTAATTAGTGAGTAAATGCCAAATACATGCTTGAATTTCATTGTGAGAACAAAGGGCTCTGTCCAGATCTAATTTGCCTAATATATTTTGTATTTCAGTTGACTAAAATAAATGAAGTGTTACATTACTATGAAATATGTTACAGGAATAACCTCAGTGTCTTTAAAAGAAAATATGCACGTTTTCTATCTAGCTTGAAAGAGAAATCTCCAAAGGCAAGCCATTTCAAGTTTAAGAAAACACAAAGTAAAAAACTCAAGGTGGTTGCTATAAATTAATTTCAAAGCAAAGGTTGACAAAGAAATTACAAAGCTGAATTTCTTACAGGCAGCACTGTTGTTACTATAAAAAGCATGTTCACAAACTTCTCCAATTAATCTCTCATGTGACCTTTGATGCTATATAATTGATAATTAGGTTCCAACATTTTAAAAGGAAAAAGAATATGCACTCCTGAATAACACATGTACTTCAAAATAGATCTTTTGAGCAATAAATAATAGAAAATATCATTATTGTATACATTCCTGATGAGGCAGTATAGTATAATAGTTAAAAAATGTGCTTTCCAGTCGTATAGACCTGGTTAAAATCCTAGCTCTGTCACTTACTATCATTTCTTGTAACTGTCACTTACTGGTGTGAATTTGAGTATGTTACTTAACCTCTCTGAGACTCAGTTTCCATAAATGTAGATTAAGGCTTGAGATTCCAATTTCATATTTGATTTTAACCTTTACTTTAGGTAACATAAGTAACATGGCCTACGGGCTTTATCTGAAAACACCTCAGAAATCTGAGATGCTAAGTGCAATGAGTATCTCATCAGAATACCTATAGTTCCTTGCCATTACTTGATTCTTCACTTCCCTGGCTATTGTTATGCTAAGATAAACTTTCTGATTCTGCTTTAAAATTTGGCTCTATATTACAAAATTATGAGGCAGCTTACTATTGAAAAGCTACATCTTCCATAAATCAACCATTGTCTTTGTTTTTTAATATTCACATTACTATATTTATATCCCCCGTGAAGCTATGAGCTTCATGGGAGATACAATTATTAATCATGAATAATACTCTTGAGCTGTTCAAGTCCTGCATGTGGGCACAGAGGAAGTATAAAGGTTAGTTTATATTTACCACACTGATTGGGAGGGTAAAATGAATGCTGCCTTTGATGGAATATTTTCTCAGTCATTTGTAAATTTAGGAAACATAAGTCTGTTTTTTCCTTTTCTCATTTTTTTCCCCATTTGTCAGGTCAGTTGAAATCCTACATTTGAATAGAAGAAGGACTAAGAAGAAAAGCTGCTAACTTTAAGAGGCTAAATCTATTATTATACTTTTCTCACCCAGAAAATTGAATTTTTTTGTTAAAACTTAAAATAACTCAGGATCTTTGATGTAGGAAGCTGGGTTTCCACTGTAGCTCTACCATGTATTAAGCATAACCATTTTTCAGTTTACGCATCTGTAAAATAGGTACATTGTCTACTTGGTACTGCCTACCTATGAGTTCTATCTTGTGAATTAAAGATGGTCATGCCTGTAAAGGCAGCATGTTATACAAAAATCAAGGAGTTAGTGGTTAGACAAACCTGGATTTAATTCTCAGCTACAAGCAGTGTAACCTTTAGCACGTTCTGTAACTTTTCTGAAAGTCAGTTTCTCTTTCTACATAATGGAGACAATAATGTCTATTTCATAAGATTGTCATAGGATTTCATGGTGTGTTTGAAAAGCTTGCAAGAAAAAGGCCTGTCTGAAACTTCTTTATTAGTACAGTGCTTTATGCATAGGGTTAGAAATATTTATTTGTCACATAAATGAAGCATTTATTTAAATCTACTTTACATATATATTGAAAAAATATAAAAGTATCTAAATTTCAAACCAAAGATGATTGGCTTAATGTCCACCCAGAGAAAGGGATATACTGCAGGGATTACCAATATTGTTGTTTACGTGGATATATGTTTGCCATATATTGTTAGGGTGTGAAAAACATAAGCATACGTGGAATAATCAACTTTTAATTTAAAAAATTAAAAAAGGTTGGAAAATATATATTTGAAAAGTTTAGTGAGATTATGAATTTCTTTTGCCTTATTTGTATTTTCTCATATATGTACAACAATATCTGATTATTTGTATAACAAAATAAAATGTTAAATAAAAATAATAGGAATAAAAATCTGACCTCCTTCAGCTGAACAGATGACCACAATTTGACTAAAAGGCCCATCTCCTTTATTGTTATAAACGCCAACTTTCACTTCAAAGGGAGTAAGAGGAGGGACACTTTCATCTCGATAAATGAATTTGGAAGCTTCAGAGGATGTCACCATTTTTTCCTTCCAGCCACGTGTTCCATTGGGTCTGAAAGCCACAATATAGCCAAAGCCTTCCCCATTCTGAAACTCTTCAGATACTGGCTAAAGAAGAAAAACGTAATTAATTATCATCAAAATGATTGATTAAAAATCCACTTTCTCCAAATTCTTAATTTTAAAACACGTATAGATAACTAGAGAAAGGGAGGATCTCAAATCTTTATACTACATTGGAAGCCAAAATAGTACAATCACTTTGGCACTTCTTTGAAAGTTAAAAAGCTTTAAAGGTAACAGAAGAAAAATTGTATCAGTTGAAATGTACAAAAATCTCAAGAGAATTGAAAACTTTTGAAGTGGAACAAATTTGCTCCAATTAGTCATGTATATGAAATGAAGATATTTGGATTAACATGTTGGGGAAAACTGTCCTATGGTCTGGTGGTTGGGAATATCTTGTCATTGGTAATGCTCTGCAGAGCCCTTTAGACCACAAAAGTAAGATATAGTAATGTTAAAACCTTTTTTTCTAGTGTGCTTTGCAATTGCTTTTATGGTTACTGACATGAAAAAATTGGACTATGGTATTCAAGAAGCTTCTTGTGCTATATGGCATAGATTTAAATTGTTACATGGGCTTCAACTGCACACCATAGAAAAGAATAATTGTGATTGACCAGTCAATGTGGAAAAGTTACCAGCCACTGTCTAGCACAGTGCTTCACACACAGTAGATATGCAATAAATATTTGCTAAGTAGATTTTTTTCCTTGAATTTTGTTATGAAGAAAAGCCATGTATTAAGTGGTGGAAGAGAGACAAAGCCCATTATATGAAAGCTTACATGGAAAGGCAGTTCCATGTAGAGAAATTTCGTCTCAGCGAAGGTCAGCTATTGGAAAGTTAATACCTCTATAGACATCAGAAACAATGTATGAAGTTTTATTGAAGAAAAGGGGGAAAGGACAAAAAAAAATAGGACAGGTGATGTGCTCATGGAATAATTCTTACTGGGAAAAGATATCTCTGTACACTTTCTTATTGTTCTTAGAGATTATAAAGGAGTTGCTCTATTTGCTGTAACAGACATTTCCATTTCTGTATATTCTAAGACAGATTCCTATGAGCTACATAATTATATTTAATAATAAGGTTATTTAACATCGAAAAAGGAAGGTGGCTTCATGGAGAATAAATGTACTCTTCACACCCCCTCCCCCTTCATCTCCACAGTTTTTCTTTGACAAATGATACTTTGGAGGCCATATGATGAGATACACAACGTAACACAAATTTTGTAATCAAAGTCACAATTCTGTTTATTAGGGAAAGTATGTAACAATGCCTCAGTTTCATGATTTGTAAAATGAAGAAAATCATCCCAACTAATAAGATTGTTGTATGGGTTAAATGAGATAGCCTGGGTAATGTGGCATTTATTCAGCAGTGGTTAATTCCTTCCTTCCACCGGTTTTAGCCTCTAAATGAGTCAAGTGGACTGCTTAATCATAAAATAATTAAATCTCACACTAAGCCTAAATCTCACACTAAGCCAAACAAACACCTGAAGTACTTTGTGAGAGGATGTGTTTTTCTTACCTCCCAGGCAATGACTAACTCATGCCTTCTTCCACTTCTTCCGCTTACATTGGTGGGCGCTGTCTTCGGAACTGTGGATAGAAATGGGTGGAGAGTGAGGAGAATAAGAACTCCCAACCTAAGCTGGATAAAATCCCGAAATAAGTCAAAAGTTTGTTTGAAGTCAGATGGTCATATTAAAGATTAAAACAAAATATTGGTGACAGAAATACCCTGCTTTCAAATCTATGTGGCAGACTTTGATATACTTTTTTTTTTTTTTCATGACCACTTATTGTACCACACCTCTTGAAAATGCTCTGTGGTAGCAATTTCTAAATTGATAATTAACACTATAGCTAAGAACATCTAATAATGATTAGGTAAATTTTGTCCATACAATTGCTCACTTTTCTCCTCTTTGCTAATGATACGACTCTTTTTTGTTATCCCGGGGCTTGCAGAGCCACTGAAAAATCCACAGGTCAAGATTAGCATTACTGCCTTACCAGAACCCCCAGGAAGCTCTAGTATTTTTTTTTTTTAAACCTTAGCAACAATTCCGTGTAGTGAGAACCTACTTAAATGAATAAACATTTAAAAAAAAATCTGTCAAGAATGAATCTCTCTGCAAACTGCAAAAGTTATGGGCAACCAGTGAAACTTTTTCAAATGAATAACTATTAAAAGAATAAATGTGTCAAAGGAATAAATTTCCCCTTCAGTGCACCAAACCACAAAATCTGCAGTTGAAAGGGAACATTTTCAAATGACGAACTTTTAAATGAAGAAAACTATTAAAAGAAATCATTTTCCAGGCTATGAGCCTGCATTAGCAATTTTACACTTCAGCATTGCCTTTCTATTCCAGCATATCGTTTTTAAACGATATTGATATACTCATAAACAATAAATTCACTCCTATCTATTACTTACTTGGAATGAAAGGCTATTAATTACTGGTAGATATTCACACAGCCTTTTATACACCAGAAAAACTGAAGTGGAATTTATATACTCCTGGGAAGGAAAAAAACAAACAAACAAATTCTCCTTGGGCCAGAAAAGAGGGTGAGCAAACCTGTGAATATATAATTGGCTCAATTGAAATAAATAACCTTTATTTGTCGGGGTCTACATTTCAGTATCCTTTGGCACTTTTCTCCGTGAACACAATTCTCTTGCTCAGGCTTCTGCAGCTGCTGCCAATATAGGATTATGCAGCAGCAGTTACCAATCTTTATTCTTTCACTGTTACATACATACTGAGGATTATTCATATGAGGAGTTCATCTCATGGATTCCCTCAGAATTGCATGGAATTGGATACCCTTTTTTCTCTCTTCCAAGAAATCACATGGAATTCAACTGAGAAAAATGATGCAATTAGAGCAATATCTGTAAATATGACCTAATTTATATGAACAGCAAACAAATCATTTATTGAGTTATTAGTAGTCATAGTTGTGGCCACATGTAACAAACTGTGACATGTCAGTATGCCTTATCACCATGTCTGAAAAACCACTGTTATGTAGTATTAGTCTAAATTTATTTTCTGGTCAATGTTATAGGTAAGACACACAAGAATGGAGCTGGTTTAACTGTATATGTAAAAGGACAGGGATCCAAATTTTCAAATATTCCCTTTTTGGCTAATCTCAGACTTCTGAATATTGTGACCATCAAAGCACAGTAAAATAAATAGTGGATACAAGATATTAATGATTTATTGATATCATGCCATTACTGCTTCTCTTAGTAGTATTGTTTTTTAAAAAATGTATACACACACATAAACACACACATACACTCTTCACATTTATCTCTGAAAACTCACATTTAAATAACATCATGGGTAATGTATACCAGACCCAGTACTTCGTCCATTAAATTGAACTAAATTTGTACTCTAAATTTAGGGCTTTGGATCCTCTTCTTTGAGGACATCATTCCTAAGATTATAGGTTTCTGTGGAAAGAGTAGGCATTGAAGATTCTTTTCTACTTTGTTCAACCCTAAAACATCATCTAAAAACAAAAAAATGATGCTCAGAAACTCTAGATTACAGTTTTACAGTAGGCTCTAGGCGCTCCAGTGAACATCTAGAAGCCTATTTAAAAGATATGAATAGAATAAAACAAAGTAACTATTTGAAATCAAAACTGTTGAAGCTTTTGTCGGATTGTTTCACGTCCATTGATACTTTCTTATTTTTAAAAAACAATTTACCAATTTGGATTTTTCAAAGTTTTAACTTTGTGAGTAAAAAATAAAAAACAAGTGAACATTTTGGGGAAAATTTCCATTTTGAGAAACTAAGAAAGCAAAAGCAGGCTTTCTATGATTTCATTCACTTCAATTTAATTAATTTTTTGAAAGTACTCTGTGATTTCAATTTTCAACTAATGATCTAAGTTTTAAAAACATTTATTTTATTACTTGAAAATCAGATCCTTGAGGTTTTCTTACTGCCTCTAATTTATTTTCAAGACAAGATAGCCCATCTTCAACTTAACGTAAAGAAATAAGATCATCCTTGTCTTACCCTACCTCCAATTTTAATGAACAATAACTGACAAAAGAGGCATTATGGCTCACCGTGTTTCAACAGCATATGTGTATAAGTAACAGCTACTCAAATTTTAAAAAAAGTTTACTAGATATAATTGGATTCACTAATGGAAAACTTTAGGTTGTAATAGCTTCATCTCAGGCAGTGTTTTGTTGTTGTGGGCACAAGATTTGAATTGGGTGCTCTAATTCCAATTGGCTTAAATTTCCTAATTACATGCAGCTAATCAGTGAAACCCATGTACATTCATTTTCTTTTCAAGTTGGTGGCACACAGTTATTATCTCTGCACTGATGGAGTCCGCTGGTTTTAATTATATCCCTTTATAAAACAACATATTCGTGATCTGAAGGGATTTGACTTAATCTTTCGGAGCCCTTATGGTGTAAAAGTTCTATCATCCTTGCTAGAAGCACAAAATTAATATAATCAAATATCTAATAAATGCTTTCACTGAGTCCAGGGAAATACTTGTTTACCTTAAGACCAAATATATTTTAAATGTAATTAATAAAATTTGAATGCAGGATTAAGCAGCTAGACTCTTTTTCCTCAGTCAACTACTGATAAATGTCATGAGCATATTAGCTTAGAGAATCAAGTTTATACATATGGTTAGCAGGTTTAAGTCTGATTCTTCTGAATTTCTTTCTGAGCAAAGCTCCTCCATAAGCAGATAATGTAATTGATACTTTGTCCACAAGCTACAGATGCCTAGCTGTTTTAAGTCTTACCTGGCATGTTGAAATACAAACTCATGTCTCTTTTCCTCTTAAACATTGAAAACATTCTTGGAAACACAGAATGAATAAAATATAGTGTACTACCTTAGTTGAACCACGCCAGAATATCAAAGAACTTCTCAGTAGGTTGAACAAACTGAGTCACACTAATAACACACTTTAATTAGCACTTAACTATAATAAAACATAATGAAATCATTTACCAATCTTTTTTTCCCTGAAAAATTTCCACTTTACAGTAAGCGTTTACCCCACTCATTGAAAAATATAGCTTTATTCGAGACCTGGGACAGGCCATGTTTTTGGAGCTTAATGGTTGTCTGGCAATTGGTTTGGAAAGAAAGGTGCCAAAGAATGAAAAGAGGGAAGAGAGGGAGTTTATATAGCAAAGGTGGAAGTCAAGAGGAACATTTCAAAAATAATATTTTTTTTTCTACTCAAATTGCAGTATGTAGCACAGGAATATTTCCATTATTGATTCTAACTCAGGCTTAGTTTACAGAAAGAGTTAAATTGAAGGAGTTCCCCTTGCCCACCACCCCACCCCCACGCCCTGAAAAAACCAATGGTACTTCCTAAACAGTTTAAATAATGCTTTTATTCTTATTAGGGTAGATAAAGTGGTATGTACAAATGGTGAAGGTTTTCTTGTGGGAGTGAGAAGTGCGAGTGAGAAAGATCTAGGCTTGAATCCTAGTTCTACCACTCTAATTGCTTGACTAAAAATATTTTTTAACCTGTATTTCCATTGTCTCATGGAGACACTAATTATACCTGCTTCTTAAGGTTATTTTCATGATTATTCATCATGGTACCCGGAACTATAATCAATAAATATTATTTAATACTATTATATGTTTAGATTCAAAAAAGAGAAAGTGGTGAAGTCTTCTATGAGAATTGCTGAAAGTTCAGCATGAGTCTATGCACACATAATCTTGAAACAGAATATCCTTCTTGGATATTCCAATAATATTGTTTTGGTAGTACCAAAGGAATTATGCTTTCAGTTTTGCCATAGCTTGTTTCAATCTGCAAATCTAGGCAAAATAGCTATTTGAATTTGTGAAAGAGATTGCTAGGATATTTCAGGAAATGTAAGAATTTTCTGATTTATAAACCTCCTTATAAGTAGCAATAGTCAAGAAGATAGGAGGTGAGTGTATAAAATGAATGGTATTTATCTCAACTCATATTCTCTTTGTTTATATGGATTCACAAGGAACTAAAAGCGAAGAATAGGTAAAATAATCTTTGTATCAGATTTGTTGCTAAAAAGGGGAAAAAGAAAAGGCAAGCAGAAATATATACAAAGCTAATTCACATACCCCCAGATAAAACTAATCCAGCCCATCTTATAATAATATTCCTTTGTGTCTCTTCCATAACTTTTGAACTCAAGGGAATTTTGTTAAGTCACCGTCATGGACAAGAACTGTGAAAATAGAAATGTCAACAGAGCAGGATCCTTTGTAGGAGTCAGAAGGTAATATACAACTTAAGAAATTGTAAGAGGAAGTTAAACGGCTGTTTTCTGAACTTGGAATGAGTCACATGTAATCTCAGATGCTAAAGTGAGAATGGCTGAAGAAAACGGGTCTCGTTACGAATTAGGGAAACCAACTTTATGACTCTTTCTCATTGCTTGCCTCCAACTCATATACATACATGCGCAAGTAATGCTGTCTTAAAACAAGGTTGTCAGTTTAGAAGGTGGATTTGCTATAGCATCTCCCTCCAACCCCAGCTGTCAATAGAGAGGTGGGGATATTAT